CTAAAGGTCAATTTTCCAGAATTTTCTGATTTCATTCCAAATCAATTCCGATCTATTACATTCGCGATCAAAGATTTCTAGGAGCTATTCCAGGTGTGTCCTCTTCCTTTGGATGAAATTTCTTTTGTTCTTAAGCAATTAGAACTCATAAATTCATGCAAATTTGTTTACAAAATTGCAAAATTCCTTTAACTTTTGAAAAACTAAAATTTTGTTAAAGCTTGTACTTTCTCTTACTAATAGTGATGTATATGTGATGTATGATCATATTTCTTTAACTAGAGTGTTGCCATGAAAGTTTATGCATCATAATTAGAGCACTTCACATAGCCATGCTTCAAGTATTTTGATGGACAAGGTAACTATACTTGGATGATTGTGGAGAAATAGTGGAGACTACCATTGTGAAATACTTGAGCCAAATTGCCATTTATTGAGAGAGTATTTGGGATTATTCTTATTCGCTATTTTCATTCTTTCTTATTTAGATTGATCTAGCTTTTGAATTGAATACTAAAAACTAATCTCTATTTTGTATGAATCATTTTATGCTTTTACTTTTGAGTTGGATGGACCTTGAGAGATGATGTTAGGCTATGCATGTTTTAACCATTAAATAAAACCTCATATCCTACCCATTGTGTGTGTCATCAACCCTTTGAAGCCAAACACTTAGCCTTTTCTTTCATCACCCACAATATTTCCTTACCCTTTTCACCCTATTTTTAGCCATACCTTATAACTTGAGAGATGCCATGGCACATGAAGACAAAGATGAAGGTTGAGCTCTACATCAATAAAAGAGGTGGCGTGTACCTAGGAAATATGTGCTCAAATTTCAAGAAAAAGAAAAAGAAAAAAGAAGAAAAAAAGAAGATATATATTCAAAAAGAAGAAAAAAATAATAATAATAAAGCATATCAAAAATCCTGGACGCCTTTGTGAAGTAAATTGGAAGAGCCAAGCCTGATAACGCGATAAATGCCTTGGTATATCTCAAGTTCTAGTATTTCCTATCCTTTCTTTCATAACCCATAACCTACCCCTTCATTACAACCATAGTAAAGACCTAATGGATCTTTGGGGACTTCTTACTCGAAAGTGGAGGTATGTACTTCATCTATGGTTCTTAGTATTTGATTTCCTTTCCATGAGATCTAATTTCAAAAATTGCCTTCTATTCATTTTGGATGCATATGTGTCTTACATTTTGTTTTATTTACCTAACTTCATTCGCATATGCGGGGTAAGAGTGCAACCCTAGGTTCTGTGAGAAAATTGAGTGTTATCCAGTGAGGCCTAGAGTCGAGGCGAATTTGTACACACACTGAGTGTGGTTATCTTTAAGTTCGAATGCTTGGAGTATTGGCTTTACACTTTACACTATGGTGCATTTTATTTGAAGTGGCATAACTTTAGTTTTTGAATTGTGATTGACATTCATTGGTTATTATTAGTTTGTTGGAAGTATTGCTTTAACGAATTTATTTTGCAAGGAGCGTTTGTGGGTGTCGTGACTGGTAAACCCTCAGGAGACACAACTCCTCCTACTAGGGACACCTAGAGGTTTAAAGGCTTGTGGCACATGCTAAGTGCCATCGAGATTGCCTGCGAAAGTGGTTTAGTTTAGTTTGTTTGTTTTATTTTATTTTTGATTTCCAGTTTTGCTCGAGGACTAGCAAAAGATAGGTTTGGGGGTATTTGATAAGCCTATATTTTATGCCTCCTTTACTTATCTATTTGTTAATTTCCTTGGATTAAATTGGTTGTTTTAATTGGTTTTGTGAGATTTGTGAAGGAATTGT